TATATATATATATATATATATATATATATATATATAGTCTTCCAGTTCCAGAAAGAATAGCACAGCATATTTAAAAAGTGTACAACAAGATTGTTCCTATTATAATGTCAAACTCTGGAAACTGTAAATACAAATAAATTCAGTGAACAGTCAAATGGTCATATTTGTAAGGAAGAAATTACATTAAGAACAGTTTGCAATCCAGTTAAATTCAGTTGTCAATAGGATGCATTTCCTTGTCAGTTGATTTCATAGTTCCTTTTCCAAGAGACAGCAAAACTTTGGCAATTGGATATAGTGAAAATATATTTTCAAAATTCAAGACACAGTCATAGCATTTTTAAAGGTGATCTGTACACCAAGGCTCAGAGTTTGGTAGCAATTCCATGTGGAAATAGTGCACATATTCTGCACAGATAGCTTACAACAGCAGCTACTCTCCAAAAGAATCTTGGGGTTTTGCTTGCATAGCTGACACATCACTGGAATGTGGAAAAATGTGCTATTTTTTTCTTTTCTTTTTTGGCAAGAGCACAGGAGAAACATAGTGATGTGAATTACGTTGGACATGCTGAATCCATGCAGAACAACAGGCTGCTACCTGACATCGTTGGTTTTTGTATACTGGTTTTGTTTTTGTTGAAGAAGTTCTGTTATAGCCAGAAGTTTTTTCAGTACATGCTAGACACAGGAGAAACAGTGGGGGAAAAAAATGACTAAGCAAATGAAGAGCCTAAATTTCAATTTTAGGATTCAATTGAATCTGGATTTGATCAAAGCTATATCAAAACAAAGGGATTCTTATAAAACTGAGTTTTCATTACTTATACTGAATAATGTAGTTGTAACTGAGACACAGAAGATCTCACCACACTAAATTTGTCATTATAAACCTTCGCAAATCTTAGTTAAACTATTGTAATGTTTTCCAAATGAAACTCTAGTTTCTTAGGACTATTTTCAGCTCAGTCTCCATGTGGATCTCTGAGTGAGGGGAGAGGGGCTGCCTCTATCATAATCTCAGTTGATGCTCTCTGATCACTCGCCCCTGATGATGCAGTCTTGCCAGGCCCTGGAGGAAGAGGATCCAAGCAGTCCTGATGAGACTTAACAAGCTATGGGCAGATGGCAATAGTGGAGAACTCCCCCTTTCAGTGGGCTAGGGAAAGGGATAGTGGGTAAAAGGGGAGGGGGGTGAGACTGGGGGAATTGAGGGAGAGGGCTTCAATTGAGATATGTAATGAATAAATTGTGAAGAAAAAAATTTTTTTAAAGTTGGTAAATCTAAGTTAAACTAATGTAATGTTTTCCAATTGAAACTCTTAGCTACTTAGGACTGTTTTCTAAACTTGAAAAATAAAGTAAGGATTTTAGAATCTCAGGTTAATGAAAATTCATAATCATTGTTTTAATTTAATTTGCAAAATATGTGCCAGATAAGAAGGCAGGTAGTGGTAGCATTTATTGCCTTCTGAAACCACGGAAGAAATTTATCAGATTTAGCACGTGTGTACCCTGACTTATACTTTCCTATGTGGTTTTCTTTCCTCCCCATTTAACTTCCTTAGTTCAAGAAAGACTGTCTCCAGTGGTTTAGCACTAGGTCAATTAAAAACCCTTTCCTGTTCTAATCTCTAGTTGAATATATCTCCTACATTAGCAAAAAACAGGTAAATTGCAAATTTCTCATGTCTCCTTGCATTTACATGTAATATTGCTCATGCACTTGGTATGAGAGTACCAGAAGGAATAAAATGTCTCATTACTGACAGTATCTCACTTGCCATTTTTATACGAACCATTTAGAAAGTTTGAACATTGTCATTTTGTAAAAACATACCTGCTGTGCACCACGCTCATTACTGAGTGTTCTCAGTTCATCTGAATGAGCTACACAAATCTCATGCAATGCTGCTAAGTCACGAGACAGGTCAGTTCTAGAATGTTCTGTAGTGTCCGGGAGTTCAGGTACATTCTTTAAGGGAATCATAAAACTGCATTTAGAAATAAAAATCCTTGTAGTCTCTTCAAAAGTTATCCTAACCAGATATAAAACATTAATTTGTCTAAG